GGTTATCTAGTCCCAGCTATGGTTGCAGTTTCTGTGGTTTTTTTCTCCATAAATCATGCTCCCAGATTCAACGCCAGCTACAACATTACTTTCATCCTTGCTCTCTCGAGCTCACAATAAGAAGTGGCTATACTTGTAATGCTTGTTTTAATCGTCGTTCAGATTTTCGCTTCCGCTGTCAAAAGTGTGACTTTGACCTGGACTTGGAATGTGCTCTAATGTCCACCACCGTCAAGACTAAAGAGGATGGCCAGATTCGACATTTCACTCATAGGCATCCATTACAACTTGTTGATCTCAACAAGGAACAATATGAAGTTTGCTGTTCAATTTGCGAAAAGCTCTGCTCTGATGTTGTCTATGGTTGTAGGAAGTGCAACTTCTTCCTCCACCACTCATGCATGGACATACCTCGAGTGATTAATCAACACCAATTTCACCCGAAACACTCTCTTGTCCTACTCACAACTACATCGTATAAGTGTAAAGGTTGTGACAGACACTGCTCAGGCTTGGCTTACATGTGTGGGACGTGCAAATTTCGATTAGATGTCAAATGCGCCTTACTCCCCACCGCAGATTGTGAAGTTGCCGAATGGATTCAACGTTTCTCTCACCAGCATTCGCTACAACTTATTGATCCCAACAAAGAAGAAGATGAAGTTCACTGTTCAATTTGCAGAAAGCTCTGCTCAGATTTTATATATGGTTGCAAGAAGTACAACTTCTTCCTCCACCACTCATGCATGGACATACCTCGAGAGATCAATCAACACCCATTTCACCCGCATCACTCTCTTGTCTTTCTCACAAAGTCATCATACAAGTGTAAAGGTTGTGACAAAGACTGCTCAGGCTTGGCTTACAAGTGTCAAGCGTGTTTATTTGAGTTAGATATTGAATGCGCCTTGCTTCCCACAGCAAATTGTGAAGGTGCCAAATGGATTCAACATGTCTACCATCACCATCCATTGGAGCTTTGTGAGATTGAGGATGGCCATGAAGCTCACTGCCCGGCATGTCGAGAGAACTCCCCAGGTCCTCACTTTGTGTGTCACAGATGCAATTTTTTCCTACATCAATCATGTGCCATTGATTTATTACCACAAACAATCCAAGATCACCCATTCCACCCCAACCATTGCCTCAAGATCAAATCCTACAATAAAAGTGAGCGGTTTTTCTGCAGAGCATGTGGGATGGATGACTTCAATGTCTTAGGTTATTGCTGCGAGGATTGTCCTGATTTTAAATTTCACTTGGATTGTTCTAAGCTGACACCTTCTATTAAATATGGCAACCACTGGCACCTTTTTACTCTCTTTCAGAAAATAAGTTTCCCTGGTTTCTGTTTGATTTGTAAAGATTATTGTGAGTCCTTCTTCCTTCGGTGTGTCACTTGTGACATAACTCTTCATCTTCAGTGCCATCCATTAGCACCGAAAACACTCAAACATAAACACCATCGACATCCTTTAACGATGACTAAATCTCCCCTTGATTCCGACCTAGAATATTATGGGCATCGGAGTGAATACTATTGTGACTTCTGCGAGCTACCAAGGCCAGCTTGGGATCCAGTTTATTATTGCAAGGAATGCGATCTATCTGCTGACATTCAATGCTTCATCTCGCAGGTATGTCCTTATAAAGACGAGAATTTGACAATTTTAGTTTTGTGTCATTTTACAATATTGGGTGCCTATTTTACCAGGTATTGCATTCGGTAACTGTAGATGACCAAACCAGTATGACAAGTGGATCCGGTGAAGATAAAGATGATAACCTCAAAGAAGGCAAAAGTTGTAGTACAACTGACCCCAAGGTTGTAAAGTATGAAAAAGAGATTGCAGAGCTTAGATCAGAGTTGGAACATAAAGAGTTTAAGAGAAAGGAACTGAAAGCACAAGTGGAGGCCCTCCAACGTGAAATAGAAGACCGCCAAAATGAAGTGAAGGAATTAAGTAATGGAAGCAGTCAACTGGAAAAGAGGATACAAAAACTTGAGCGTGCACATCTATCTTATATTGGACCAATGCTAGCAAAGTCCAAATTTAAGGCATAATAAGGAGGACTGGTCCTGCCGAGCAACCCCTAGTCTGTGGCCAGAGTGATGGGATGTTTTTAGGTTTGCCTTTGTGGAATTTACTCGTTCCATTTTGCAAAAAACAGACTCTATCAATATTTTCTATTAACTGGAAAATGCATTTGCAAAAGAAGCAAATTCAAAGCTCAACTTTTTTCTTTTTGTTCACACAGTAGCTTTAGTTTTTTTTAAGAGGATTAATTAATTCACAGTGGATATATTCCAATTAATGCCTGTCTTAGCTTAGTTAGCTTCTCTGTTTATATTCTTGTGAATTAAATTCTTGTAAATTAGAGGATTAGACCATGTTTGCTGCAAACAGGAAAGATCGTCCCCCTGGATTGTGGATATTTATTACATTTGTCTCTTTAAGGACATTAGATAAACTCGAAAGTAAAATGATGCACACATAATATTTTTTTTATAATAAAATCTTTTCAAAATCTTAAGTGATAGTAATTATTTTGACTATTTTCACTTGGCAGGATACATGAGATGCATCCGCAGCATCCCCATATTTGATATGATGTGGCTAAGATATGAGATCTCATTCTACTCTCTCAAGTGGATAATAATAAATTTATTATGAAAATTAACTATTATACCCTTTTGTTTACTAATGAAAGTAATCATATGACTATTACATTTCTACTCACCCAAATTGTGATTAATGGATGCTTTGCATTGAAATGCATTACGAACATTCATTCTTCAAACATTCATTCTTCAACGAACAACCATTATCTTCCAATATCTCTCATCTATATAATAAATGATTAATGATTCATTGAAACTTATTAGTACATTTATGCCTCTAATATTTTTAAAATTCTTGGTATTATTGTATAATATAGACTTCAATTTTAGAATTACAATCTATTATGTACAAATAGTTACACTTTATATGAAATAAGAAAAGAAGTTGCAAGTTCTTTTTGCCACTTGTTAGTGTTACCATTTCAATTTTTTAGTTATTATTTCTTCTATTTTTTTTATAATTTAGAACAAAGTCATCTTTTCTTTTTTTTTTTTCAATTTTGAAGATAGACAATAACTTTCTTTTCAATTTAACCTTATTAATATCCCATGAGTTTGAACTATGTTGTAGAATCATTATAAAATTTAACTACTATTATGTGAAATTAAAATAACCAAAATATCAAGTTTATTTTAATTCTAATTCTAATTACAAATCACATCTTAAAGAATTATAACTTATCCTGTGTAACCTCGTCATCCGATTCTATCTTATCCATTGTCTTTGATTCTTCATATATTAGGACCTATTGTTATGAATGCAAATGAATCACTATAACTTATCTTTTGTAAGAGGATTTTAAGTTTTTGAACACCTTGAGAATTTAACAATCTCTTAGTACGCTCGGTTTTTGTTTAGATGATATCAGCTTGATCTTAACTTCTTGGCAACAAACTGAAAACCAAAGATTTTTTGCTAGATTTGCTTTATCATCTCATTCTTAATTTCATCCATAATATACCCCTTACAGTTTTTATAGTCATCATGTAAATTTTGGGTGATAAAAGAAGTTGTTCATATCTTTTATCAATGCCTATAATTTTTTTAGGGATATTAGTGCATTGAATCATAGATGAAATCATATCAATGAATGTTTTAAAGATTGCACCTAGTAGAAGAATATTGTAGTTAGAAAAATCAACCTAGCATTTGGAAATTATTTGGTTTCACTCTTATTAATTAAAGGTTATTTATTGTTTGTTTCTTGTTGAAAACATTGTCTGAGCAATGCAGTCAATATGGACTGTGAGTCTTAAAAAGGAATATAATGAAATATATAAAAAAAAAAAAATTAGATAAAAAGTAACATTATTAGACAAAAAAATTAATAGTAGAAAACCTATATTCTCTAACCAAATATTCTGCAACCAAATATTTAGTTAAAAACAAAATGATTAAGAATTTTAAGAAACAAATAAAAATCTAATAAAAACAACTACGAAACAAAAAATAAGAATTTATCTTTGTAAATACCGACTTGAGAATCAATTTGATGGATTACATATAGGTACTAGGTTAGAAAAAGAGAACTTTGTTAAGAAAAAATTTAGAGGAAAAAATTTAGAGGAAACAATCAAGAGGAAAAAGTACTTACTTCATTGTTGATTTAGAATAATCGATAAATTATAAATAGTGGGAGACAAATTTCTAGAGATAGATTTATATGACAATATAAAACTAACAATAATAAAGAAAGTATCTCAAGAGAGAATAAGAGTCTAGCATGGCATTTTCTTATATAATGAACTGCACATGAAGAAGAAAAGATTGTAATCTCATAAATAATTATTATGTTATGCATTACAACTTTATGTTTTTACCCTTCTTAAATTTTGGATATCTATGCATCGTCTTTTGATTTAATACATTATATTATCTATGCAATGAAAATTAATAATGATAAAATAATTGATAATGTTAAGATAAGAAGTGAAAACTAAGAATATGAGAAGATAATAAGGTTAAACTCATATTATTAAGTAGGTTTATTTATGAAATTTAATCTTTTTATAATTAAAACCAAATGCAAATAATAATGCCTAGTTAATGCTTGGGATAGCATTTTATATAATACTAGATATATAGATTTTAAAACTTGTGCATGGCACGGGATTTTTTTTTTTTTTTAATTTACGTGAATATTCTATAATTATTTTTATATTAATTTTGAGATTGAGGAAAATCAAGAAGTCCTATTAGTTAAAATGTCAAGATTGATAATAAAAAAAATTAAAATATCTTTAATAAATCAAAATACAAAAAAAAAAAAAAAACATTAAGAATATTTAAACAATTTCACTAGAGGTTTTGACATTTAAAATGTTAGAACCTCCTAATTTTCACTACGCTCATTAATTTTTATAGTAAAATTGTTTTAATATATTATAGTTATTTTTATTTATTGACTAGCAAATCAAATTTATTAATGGAGTTATTTGTTTTAATATATATATATATATATATTAAAATTTTAAATGTTAAAGAGTGTTATATATTGTGGTAATTCTTATCATATATGATAAATACAATGATATTTTATACTTTATATTTGAGTATTTGAATTAAGAAGATGTCTAAGCCTATAAAACTTTTTTTTTTTTTTACGTTGTATAATTAGTTTTTAGTAGTTTATACGGTGTGGTTGTTTTTTTTTAAAAGAATTTTGGTACTTCTTGATGATAGAATCAAATCAAATCAAATAAGGGAACGGGAGGAAACCCGAGTAAAAGTACAAATAAAGATTTTAATTTTATATTTTTTTATTTAAAAATATTAACTTTATCAATTTTTAAATAAAAATGTCAATTTTTAATTTTTTTTAAATAAAGATGTCAACTTTCTACTTTTTCTATTTAAGGATTAATTGAATAGTAATGCTAAGTGGCTAACATATTTTTTTAGGTTAAATATCTGAATTGGTCCCTCAACTTTTATTTTTGAACCAATTCATCCTTGAACTTCAAAAAGCACCAAAAACGTTCTTTAACTTCAATTTTCAATTTCGTCTTTCCGCCAATTAAATGTTGATGTAGCTAATTTTTTCATTGAGTGATTGACTATTTTACATTTTCAATATTAGATGGAAAATCTATCATGTAAAAGATGATTATGTGGATTTTTTTAATTTTAAATAATTTACAAACTACTTTAATTCTTAATTTTACTTTATTTATATTTAAAAATTAAAACAATTAATATATTTTCCCATTTAATTAGTCCCATGTACCATTTAATAAAATTAAATAAAATTTAATTAATTCTTCCATGAATTAGGAAATAATTTTATTAATTGAAAATTGAAGTTGAAGGATGTTTTTGGTACTTTCTAAAGTTCAATGATGAATTGGTTCAAAAATAAAAGTTGAGGGACCAATTCAGGTATTTAACATAAAAAATATGTTAGCCATGTCAGCATCACTATTCAATTAATCGTTAAATAGAAAAAGTTTAAAGTTGACATCCTTAAATAAAAAAAAAAGTTAAAAATTGACATCTTTATTTAAAAAAAAAAATTGAAAGTTGACATGCATCCACTTAATTGATTTCATGTGGTTATGATATAAAATCTCATTATACTCGCTGAATTGGATAATAATAAGTCTATTATGAAAATTGGCTGTTGTACCTTTTTGTTCACTAATGAAAACAATCATATGATTGTTACATTACTACTCAAGCAAAAGATAACTAACGGATGATTTGCATTGAAATACATTATGAACATTCATTCTCCATCAAATAACCGTTATCTCCCATTATCACCCATCCAAAGAACAGATGACTAATGATTTATTGAGACTTATTAATACATTTATGCCTCTAATAGTTCCAACTAAAATTTTTTGTATTATTGTATAGTAGACTTCAATTTTAGAGTTACAATCTATTATGTACAAATAATCACATTTTATGTGAAATAAAAAAAAAAAGTTACGAAGTTTTTTTTCCCTCTTTGTCTGTGTTACTATTTCAATTTTTTTGTTATTATTTCTTCTATTTTTTTTATAGTTTACAACAAAGTAATTGATTTTTTTTTTCTTTTTTTAAGATAGATATTAACTTTTTTTCAATTTAACCTTATTAATATCCCATGAGTATGAACCATGCTAAAGATACATTACAAAATTTAACTACTACTATGTGAAATTAAAATAATTAAAATATCACGTTCATTTTAATTTTAATACTAATTACAAATCACATCTTAAAGAATTATAGCTTATCCTGCAACCTCATCATCCAATTCTATCTTATTCATTGTCTTTGATTCTTCATATATTAGGACCTATTGTTATAAATGCAAATAAATCACTATAACTTCTAATTTTGCATATAGAAAAAGCAGACTCCAACCTTGAAGAATCAACAGGGGAAGGACGCTCTGCCCAGCCATGATCAGGTGTGCAGAAAGAGTCATGGGATGCTTTGGGTTTGTTTTTGTGGTATGAACATGTTCCATTCTGCGGAAAACAGACTTTATCAATATTGGCAAGGTAGGTGAAAGAATGCGTCTCGTCGTGGTTGTAGCATATAGGAAAGAGGCTGATATTCTTTCTTTTAGTTTTTTAAATTTATCTCGAGTGTGGAAGGAAATTGTGGGTATCAGTAAAGGATCTCAAAGGCTAGATGTCATGTTAGCAAAGGGTTTTAAATGAGAAGTTAGGGATGGACGTCGTGTGGATTTTTGGGGTGATAAGTGGGTGGGAGTTAAATCTTTAAAAATTTATTTCCCAGATTGTTCTCATTGGCAATGGAAAGGGAGTGGTTGGTGAAGAATATGGGTTTTTGGAGTGGTGACAATTGAGTATGGGATTGTAGATGGAGACATAGTTGTTGGGGGAGGGTGGGTAGTGAGGAGGAACAATTTAGGAACTGATTAATGGGGTAAAGGTGAGGACTGATAGTGTGGATTCTTGGAGATGGCTTTATAGTAGTGATGCTGTGTATACTATGAAAGTTGCTTATGTCTTTTTAACACTTACATATTGTATTCTTGATAAGAAGTGGTCTACAATTATTTGGTGTAAATATGTTCCCTCAAAATTGAGTGTATTTGGGTGGAAATTATTTTTGAATAGGTTGGCAACAAAGGAGAATTTATGTAAGAGAGGGGTTTTACTGGAAGGGGATGTTGGTTGTGGGTTATGTAATAAGGGAGTGGAGCAAATTCATCATATCTTTTGTGAGTGTAAAAGGACATGGTTAGTGTGGATGCAGGTTTTGAGATGGTGGGGTTGGCAGGATCTGTGGTGTATGGTACAGGCAGAGGTCATGTCAAAGATTTAGGGGCTATCATCTTTTTAGTTGTAGCTTGGTTTCTTTGGTACTGAAGGAATATGAATGTGTTTGGGAACATGAGGTCTAAGGTGATGTTGGAGTCAATACAAACTAAATCTTTTTATAGTTAAAAAATAAAAGGAAAAGTTGTGTGTTCATTTATCAAGATTGGATATTATGACTTACGAAATATAAAGATGCTATTGTTTAATATCGCCAAAATTTGAGAAGCTACAAGTTGCTGTGGAATATTCCTTATGCTCCTTTAATAATATATTTTTCAGTTGGTTTTGCTGACAAAAAAAATATATATTATGCCTACCTGGAATAAGGGCAAGTGAATGGGACCAAGAGACTATGTTTAAAAAAATAACATATACTAGCGAGGTAGGTGAAGAATGTGAATTGGCTGTATCATATATGAAACAATATTCCTGCCTGCCTGTTTCCAAATTCATTTGTTTTTTTTACATAAAACTACGTACCTAAGCAACATATTGCATCTGTTCCTATATAGGAACAAATGCAATATGTTCCTTTTTTTTATATTATATATAAAAAAACCTAATGGTCTGTGTCTCCTTTTTTTTTTTTTTTTTTTTTTTTAAGTGATGCACAACTCTCCCGCTTGGGTGGTAGTTATTTCGCGTTGTGCTAACCTCATGAAGGAATGCAAGAGGAACAAAATTATAAGCCGTGAAAACAGAGTAATAGTAGTATCCAATACCATGAAATGATTAATTTATTCAAAAGTTATTGAACTAACAGACAGTACGTATCTTCACCAGCCGTTCTTCAGGTAATTAATCTCGCCCCTCTTTTGAATTTTTTTCATTGTTTTCTTAACTTAGGTTCATCATGTAGCCTCTATGACTATGAGTAAGATAATTCATGAAATTGATTTGTTTTGTTTCCTGTATTTCATTGGCTCTCTGTATTTGGTAATTCGTAAGAGATGGAGATTGAACATTTTTTTCACCATCATCCCTTGTCACTCATTCAAGATGAGAAAGACTACGAACAATTTCGTTGCAGTGGATGCGAGAAAATGTTATCTAGTCCCAGCTATGAATGTAGTTACTGTGGTTTTTTCTTCTCCATAAATCATGCCCCTAGATTCAACGCCAGCTACAACATTACTTTCATCCTTGCTCTCTCGAGCTCACAATAAGAAGTGGCTGTTTTTGTAATGCTTGTTTTAATCATCGTGCAGATTTTGCTTCCGCTGTCAAAAGTGTGACTTCGACCTGGACTTGGAATGTGCTCTAATGTCCACCACCGTCAAAACTAAAGAGGATGGCTGGATTCAACATTTCACTCATAGGCATCCATTACAACCTGTTGATCTCAACCAGGAACAACATAAAGTTTGCTGTTCAATTTGCGAAAAGCTCTGCTCTGATGTTGTCTATGGTTGTAGGAAGTGCAAGTTCTTCCTCCACCACTCGTGCATGGACATACCTCGAGTGATTAATCAACACCAATTTCACCCGGAACACCCTCTTGTCCTACGCACAAATCCATCGTACGATTGTCGAGGTTGTGACAAAGCCTGCTCAGGCTTGGCTTACAGGCTTGGCTTAGAGGCTTGGCTTACAGGCTTGGGCAATGCTATTTTCAATTAGATGTCAAATGTACCTTACTTCCCACCGCAGATTGTGAAGTTAGCGAATGGATTCAACGTTTCTCTCACCAGCATTCGTTAAAACTTGTTGATCCCAACAAGGAAGAAGAGTAAGTTCGCTGTTCAATCCGCAGAAAGCTCTGTTTAAATTTTATCTATGGTTGCAAAAAGTCCAACTTCTTCCTCCACTACTCATGCATGGACATACCTCGAGAGATCAATCAACACCAATTTCACCCGAAACACTCTGCTGTCTTGCTCACAAAGTCATCATACAAGTGTAAAGGTTGTGACAAAGACTGCTCAGGCTTGGTTTACAAGTGTGAACCGTGTTTATTTGAGTTAGATGTTGAATGCGCCTTTCTTCCCACAGCAAATTGTGAAGGTGCCAAACGGATTCAACATGTCTACCATCACCATCCATTGGAGCTTTGTGAGATTGAGGCTGGCTGTAGAGCTCACTGCTGGGCATGTCGAGAGAACTCCCCAGGTCGTCACTTTGTGTGTAACAGATGCAAATTTTGCCTGCATCTGCCATTGATTTTTTACCACAAGCAATCCAAGATCATCCATTCCACCCCACTCATTGTCTCAAGATCAAATCCTGCAATAAAAGTGAGGAGTGGTTTTCCTGCAGAGCATGTGGGATTGATATCTTTAATGTCTTAGCTTATTGCTGCGTGGATTGTTCTAAATAGCTTTCATTACATAAATAATAAATGAATTAAACCAAAGGAAGATAAATAGATGCTTAATTTTTATGAAAAATAAAAACATATGATTACAAACATCATTCATTGTCATTTATAACATTTTTATTCATCATTTATTTTTACCATTTTTAATTTTTTTTCACCTCAAGCACTTTTTTTTTTTTTTTTGGTTGGAAAAAAATGTGCATGAGGAAGTGAGATTTAAAAAAGCTTGACGAAGAAGAAGATTTTTGTATGAATTGTTTAATTTTATTTCATATAGATTTTTTTTTTTTTATCAAAAATATTTTAAAAAAATAGAATATGTATATATATCTATTTGTTTTGAATGTAGATGTACAAAAGAATGTGATGATGACAATGCAAAATAAGCCTTTTGATGAATAAATTAGAAATATGAAGAATTTGAGAAATATCCATATTAGTTCATCAATTTTTATAAATGTCAAAATCAGTCAAATAAAATTTGATTCTTTTTTATTTTTTTATTTTGAATTGCATATATTCGCTTTATTTCTATTTTTCTTAACACATATTTTGATATTGCTATTTAATAACAACAACAACAACAATAATATCAACAATAATAAAAATTAATGTATAAATATGTATTAAAACAATATCTAAAGCTATCCTTTCAATTTCCCATTAAATGGAAGTAGCATACATTTTTATCCAAATATTTGATGTATATTAATCAATATATTTATTATTGTTTTCCGTCATATGTATATTAAATTAAGGGAGAATGGCTTAAGAAATGAAAAATATTAATTCATAGAATACTAAGAATAATTAAGAAAAAATGAACATTTACGAACATTAAGCATTGAAGGCTAAAAAAAAAAGGAATATTGTAAATATGAGTTTAGGATTTTTTTCAATTCTTGATAACAAAATCTTAAAGTTTTTTCAATTCCTAACAACAAAACCTAAATGATCTGTTCGAAAGATTTTTTTAATTCAATATTTGATTATAGAATATATATGTTTGAATTTTTTAGTTTAAGTTATATTTTAAAAAGGAATATCAATTTTTTAATATAATGTTGAGAAAGAAACATTAAAATGATCTCATGTAATGCACATGTAACACACAAGTATTTGATCTTATTTAAGTGTATTG